ATACTTTAGGCTACATCAAGCTAATTAATATAATTCACATGCCAAGTAGGATTAATAACAATTCTAGTTCAAAATCCTCCCTATCTTGCTATATCTGTTTAGCTATACGTAATAGAGAATTCTATTTTTAAAAAAATATAGTGTCAGGACCAAGTGTTGGTTGCTAGAAATCCAGATATCTGGTGATATTAGGGTGACAAGAGAATGGTATATAGAGAGTGTGGCAATTATATGAATATCTGAAGTGTTTGGAATAATTGGAGGCTTGTGAAGACCTTCTTGGTTTGGTGCAATATAAGAAACAGCAGCAGTGGCTTGGGAGGCTGGCAGAGAGCCAGTCCTCTGGAATCCTCTGTACTTGAGAGACCGCATCCTGCCAATTACCTCCCTTCGACCTATTAGATCGCACAGATTAGGCCTCCTCCGAGTTCCATCCGCCAGTCAGTGCCGACTGGCGACTATGCGGAGGAGGGCCTTCTCTGTAGCAGCTCCGACCCTTTGGAACGATCTCCCCGTGGAGATTCGTACCCTCACCACCGTCCAGACCTTCCGCACAGCCCTTAAGATCTGGCTATCCCGTCAGGCCTGGGGATAAGGATTACGCCACCCCACCCAAATGTTGAATGACTGTTGTGTTTTATTGTTATTATTTTGTTTATTCACGTATTGTGTTATATTGTCTTGCACTCCCCTTCCCATGAATTGTAAGCCGCCCTGAGTCCCCTCAGGGAAAAGGTCGGCCTATAAATAATAAACAATTCAATTCAATTCAATTCAATCACCTGCTGAGTGGCTAGAGTGCAGTCAGGTTGCCATGAAAAGTTTGGTGGATTGAAATCAGAGTTGGCAAAGCAGAGCGAGAGGCTCCTTAGAGAGCAGGCAATAGCCAAATCAGTATCGCTGATAAGCTGGATGGCAGCACAAGAATTCCAGCCACAGGATGGTCCAGACTGGAGAGTCATCTTCCTGGGGATGGTTGCAAAATTCTATGTTGGATGTGATGCCAGTGACAGCTTAATGGTGATGACTACTCAAGACTGCTAGTTTTCAGAAAGCTCCATTGATGATGGTTATCTGGGGATTGCCAACTTTACCAGAGGTTTGGAGGCTTTTAGATTTGAGGTGGCAGGAGCTGGAACTATATAGGAATAGGTGATATTCCTATAGCTTGTAGCTGCTACGGCTTTGGTTTTGACTTCTTTTTTTGTCATTTTCCTTTTTTGCACTATGCCATGGACCTAAGAGAGGAGGATCTGCTAGGTCTGTTATACAGGTAGTCCATTTAGTGACCATTCGAAGTTACAACAGTATGACAGTTGCAATGTCTTGATCACCTTCTGTGTCATTTTGACAAGCAAAGTCAATAGAGAAGTCTAATGAGGGAATTGCTGGCTGGGGTATTCAAGGAATTGAAGTCTACACTTCTTAAAGTGGGAAAACACTTTCTAAAGTTTCTATAGATTAAGACATTATAGATTATAGGCCTATCTGGATGTGCTTGGGAAGTAGTGACCTTGGGCCAGACATTCTCTCTCAGTCCAAACTCATCTCACAGGTTTGTTGTTGTGGGGAAAATAGAAGGAGGAAAGTGAGTTGGACATGTTTGCCCCCTTGAGTTATTTGTAAAAATAATAAAGGCAGAGTATACATAAATAAGTATTACAGTTGAGGATATTAGAGAAAAGGAAATCAAGCCGATAGTGACTCAGATGCTCAGAAACTTTTTGCATTCATAATAATGTTCACTCTTGTGTTCAAAATATCAACAGGAGTAAAGGAAGAGAATACACACACACACACACACACACACACACATTTGCTATTCATAGGCCAGATATCTGAACATCTGGAAATAATTCAGCATGTACCTGTGTTTGATTATATGTAGACACTTGAACTATGTGCATGAAAGAGAGAGAAGTGAGAGAGGGGAATGTTTAGGCGTATAAAAGCACAAGAGACAGTATGTGAGTGGCCTCTGGGGTCCAGGACACTCCTGGGCATCCAAATACTATAAATTAAGTAGGCCTAGCAAAGAGGAAAGCATCATTTGTTAACTTAAATAGGCAATTGTTGTCGCACAGTAGAAATCAACAGAAGGGGGAAATAAGGTTTCAATTACCAATATTCATAGCTGTTTGTATAAACTCTTTATAATTTATATATCTGTGCCAGAGTCTTTCTGAGTTTTGGTTACCATACACTAGCATGGCTCTCTTCCTATGATGTATCCAATTTATACAGTGACACTGGAGTTATATAAGAGTGAAGTACAAATATTTATTTTGACTCCAGTCATCATATGAAACCTAAACTTATTTTAATAGCAATAGCATTTAGACCTCCTTATACTGCTTCATAGTGCTTTATAGGGTTAGGGTTAGGAAAGCAAAGGCTCAGAATGAACAAAGACATGCAACAAAAGTCAAATATAATTTTTAAAAAGTTTCTTTCAACATATAAATAATAAGGAAAAAACTCAAGGAAACAGTCAGTCCACTAAAGAGAGAAGATAACAAGAAAGTAACATGCAATAGAGAGAAAGCAGAGCTGCTTAACTCATTCTTTGCATCAGTCTTCACATAGAAAGAAACTGGAGCCCAACCTACTAAAAACATAACTGTAAAAGACAGATTAGAAATAAGCAAGAAAATGGTAAGAGAACACCTTTCTGACCTTGATGAATATAAATCACCGGGACCTGATGGATTACATTCCAGAGTTCTGAAGGACCTTATATTATCTCACAAACATTGAATCATATCTTTAAAAAATCTTGGAGCATTGTGGAGCTACCAGATGATTGGAAAAAAACTGATGTGGTTCCTATCTTTTTTTTAAAAAGTGAGGGGGAAACATACCTAGGAAACTATAGACCAAGCAGTCTAAAATCAATACCTGGGAAGATATTGGAAAAGATAATCAAAAAACAGATCTGTGAACATCTAGAAACAAAGTTATAACTAGTAGCCAGCATGGTTTTGTTAAAAACAGATCATGCCAAACCAATCTTATTTCATTCTTTGTCAAAGTGACTAAATTAATAGACCAGCAAAATGTTGTAGACATTGTATATTTAGACTTCAGCAAATAGGCCACAGTATTCCAATATTTGAGGGGCTACCACAAAGAAGGGAGGGTCAAATTATTCTCCAAAGCTGAAGGCAAAACAAGAAACAATGGATGGAAACTAATCAAGGAGAGAAGAAACCTGGAATTAAGGAGAAACTTCCTAACAGTGAGGATAATTAACCAGTAAAATGGCTTGCCTTCAGAAGTTCCTCACTGGAGGTTTTTAAGAAGACACTTGTCTGAAATGGTGTAGGGTCTCCTGCTTGGGCTGGACTAGAGGACTTCCAGGGTCCCTTCCAGCTCTATTCTGGTTGACATAGGCAGACGGAAACCCAACCAGGTAATGTATTCTGGTTGGATGATGGAGAAGCTGATAGTAGGAGGAAGCTTAGTTTCTGATAGGAATCTTTTTCTTCAGGGGAAAGCTGGCAGAGGTAAAGTTTTTAAAAAACAGAAACTTTGGGAAGAAGGAATTTGATGAAAATGTCATGGCTGGCAAACTTAAGTTAGGCCTAGGCAGTGTTTGCTGTTGAAGACCGGGTATTGGCTTTAGTAAAGAGCAGTATTGGCTGAAGATCCTGAGTTGGGCTGGGCAGTATTTTACTGTTGAAGTGTAGTAAAAGTTGAGGAGACGCCAAGACACAATTCATGAAATGGACAAGAGCATGATACAGAAAAGTACACTAAAGAAAAGTGGGGCCCAACATGAGACATAAATTACCCAGCAAAGGGGATCGGGGGGGGGGGGGAGCCAGAAAGAAGGAAGATATACTCTACCAGCCAAAAGGCTGCCAGCCTAAATACTGTCAGTATCTTTTGTCTCAGAAATAGGACATTATTTAGAGATTAAATCAACAATATTGAATGCATACATATGCCATTAAAGAACTTAAATGCATAAGAAGCGTAAGGTGTATAATGTTCAGCAAAGAAAAAAAAACTCATTCCTTTTGCAGTACATTTTAAATCTCAATCCACGGCTTCATTTCTTTCCTGCTGGTTATCAGTAAAAATGGGCAGGAGAAGATGGGAGAGCTCAGACCTCGCTTTTCTAGCTTAATTAATCTTGCTAAGGAATACAACTCAAAATAGATGCTGTTTGTCTTAATAAAAAAGAAGATAAAATCTCAAGAGAAGTTTTGCATTCTGTCTTTCATCAAATATGGAAGACTCATGAAAAGCCGAGGACAAGGTCCCTTCTGATAAATTGCTGGTAATACTTTTGGTACCACCATTGTGTTAGAGACAATTAGCCATAAAACATCTTCCAGTTTCATGTGATGCTGGGAATTTAGAAAGTACCTTAGAAAAGCATTTAAATGAAATATTTTATGAAAGCAGTGTAAATCATCTTCTATTTTCATATTTGCTTCTATCTTTATTAGGTTCCCATTGTTGAAGGAGTTGGGGGATATGGGTATTATAATCTGGAAATAGAACACACACACACACACACACACACACACACATTCTTCATATGAATAAAACTATTGAATGCCAGTTGATTAGACTGAAAAATAATATCACAAATACAATAACATGTGTTAGCAACATTTAGCAACATTAGGTGAAGAGTTTGTTTTAATGTATTGTTCATATTTTCAAACATCCACTATTTCCTGGAATATTGGTCTCCAACTTGGAGCACACCAGATATCATGTAGTGAACAACTAGGACTTCTTTCCATATAAGTTACCCAAAATCTTTGTAAGGAGATGATTGCAGAGCTTTTTCTGATCTCTGATAGATGAGAAGCCCAGAAAAAGGGATTAGAAGTAATACAGTAGCATTTCCAATGGCAGCCATTAAAGCTTTGTGGATTGTCCATTCAGTTTTGCCAGTTGTATTAAGAGAAACTCCTACATCTTGCAAGTCAGTGTACGTGTTTTGAAAACTGTTATGTATGTTTTTTGTGTGTTTCTTTCAGCTCCTGTTTGTGGTTATTTTTTGAAGAAGGATTCTTCCTAAATAATGAACAATCAGTTCAGTGCTTCAGCATGCAAGGAGGAGATGAAGCAGGAATGACTGTTCATCATTCCACGTTCCTGGCTACACCCAGATTGATAACAAGATTTGTCTCAGACTCCAGAATTTTCCCTTAGGAGAGAAAAACAGCCGAGTGTTTGTGGAAATAGCGTTCAAGCTCTGACATGAGGTTTCTACTCCACGGAGCTTTTGCTGCCAAGTCTCAGGGTTTCCTTTGTGTTCTATATCACATCTTCTACCAGATAGCCTTTAAATTGAGGTTATGGCTCATAAGATAGAAGTTCTGAATTGTGTCTATATTATGTATACCGGGCCCAGATTTCTCTTTCCAGTTAGACATTTCGGCCTCCCCTGAGCATGATGAAGTTTCTCTACTGGATGGTGGACACAGTTCGCACAACATGACTACAGTTAACGCATGTGATTAAAATGATGACTGATTATATAGACACTTGTGCTGGATGCTCTCAATGTTGGCAAGAAGCCATAAAAATTCTCAGTCTGTGAATAAAGTCAATCATTTTGTTCGTTTAACTTATAATTTATTCTCCACAATTAGTTGACAATTTATTCCAGCTTTTTTTCTTGTATTATGTTCTTCCTCACATTTCACATATTCTTAATAATTTGTGTTTCCAAGACACGGCCCTTTCATAGAAATTGTCACTGTAGATGATGAATCTGAACAAAGGTGCTTCATCAGCTATCATTATAGCTTCATTTAACATTCTAAATGCTTTTTTATTTATCAGTAATTCAACTTTTGAAAGATTTGTAAAGCAAACAGAACTTTATTATCACAATTTGATCTTTTTCTCTATTCAGATCTTTTGCTTGCAAGAAGTATGTCCTATGCATAATTTTTAAGTGGGTATCTTAAGACTCATGTGTATGGCAGGTGGCCAGAGTTAATATTTAAGGCAGTGGAGGAGTGACAAAACCTACATGGAATGAGGCAGTGATGGAAAATATCATGCATACATGCAGGACTATTTTCAGGGGGTTTTCTTCTTTTTTTATGGGATTTTTGTTTTGTTTTTAAACTATGTGCCTGTTTCTCCACTTGCTGTATAGTTTTATTTGTTCTTATTTTTATTTTCACCAAAATGGCTTTCTAGCTTAATTTCTGAGGTTTACTTGTGACTCTTTGCATATCTCAGCTACTCCATCTTGTCAAGGAGTTATCTTGTTTATTTTGAACTTCACAGAGAAGGTAATGGTTTTTAATCCATATATGTGGATTTTGTCATGTTAGTGGACAAGATAAGGAGGAGGAGGAGTTCAACTTTAATGCTGGTTAAATAGCAAATGTCAGCTAAGAGTAACAGATTTTGAGTGATACTGAATACCATTTTGTTTCCCCCGATTTTGCTTCCAGGTTTCTAAATAAAACGATTCCCATTGTGTTCAGGTACTTTCACATCTAGGAAAAAACTAATTAGAGAATTTAAAATCAGAATTTCAAACTCTCCAATTATTTCAGTGACACTGAACATTGAACATATGTGTCTTACATTGACATTTCACAAGACCCAAGAAGTTGAATGAATTTGAGCCTTTGCACTGAAAGGGGAAAAGGGGTTTATAGACAAATATTAATAAGATATTTGAGATTAAAAAGAAATTGCCTTTAGTATTTGTTTTTCAAGTACTCTAACTGAAGGCCATTTTCTTGATATATCCTTGCTAGAACCAAAAATCAAAACCAGCTTGTTAGATGCCATCTAGGAAAAATCCTTAAGTCCCCCAGATATGCCCTGCTTAATAAAGTAGCTGTGACTCTGATCCTTGCCATCTGATCCAGAATTGTATTTTCAAGGTGTTAAGACAATTCTATAAATATGTGCTACTTTCATGCCAAATATCATCTGTGTGTTTCAGATTTTTTTTAGTTTTGTTCTACTCCTGTTCATCTACAGAAATAATGGAAGTTGAACATCAAAACAGTTCTAAATGTTTACCTGTTCACAATAGATTGCCAGCATAAGACTAAGCTTTTGTCTTATCTATAAAATTGCATTATCTTAGAGGGCATCAAATAAGATGCCACATTAAGGAAAATAAAGTGCATCTTTTGTAGGGTGTGGCAATATTTGCAATCTTCCGGCAAGTTTCTTCGGCTTGTCCTCATTCTTAATTTTGATCAAAATTATTAATATATGCTTTAGAGGTATTTTGTACTGGAAATATTTTGTGTTGCAGAAAAGGAACTATGATAGTGAAAGGTATAAAATGAGATGTTTCGTTCTTTATGGTAAAGGTGGTTCTATAATTAAATCTAAAACTTTTGTTGAAGACTGCAGAGTTGATATTCGAATGTGCTGTTATGTAAGAGGCTGACATTTAAGCACGGAAATAAAGTTATGCAGAAATTGCATATGGAAATCAAAATCTAGCTCAGTTTTCAAAAGAATAATATATCTTGCTGGGGAAAAAAATTGCATCCACCTGTATTTATTTTTAAGTAACATCAGAAGCAATGGTACAGTAGAAAAAGATTCCAGATGATTAATTTTATATGTTGTAGTTTATTTATAAATATTTCACTTCAAAATTATATAGATCATTGTAGAAATCAAGAGATTTCACTTCAAAATTATATAGATTATTGCAGAAATCAAGAGGTGTCTCTTGTCCACAAAAGTTAAAGCACAGTAAAGTACTGTATGTCCTTGGGACAGTTACTTGCCTCACTTTTAGCTTGTTCAAGGAGATCTTAAGAGAAAAATTAGAAGGCTAAAAGCTAAGCAATGAGTGGGAAGTACCCTCTTATCTGAATTGGAGTTTTCCTGCCACAGGCTCTTAGCCAAAGAGTTGATATGATAGATTGACACCACCCCAGCTGCTGTATCTGGAATTTTTCATGTTTCATAAAAAATGTTTCTTATTAGCAATTAGAACAGCATGATAGAAAGTGAACAGTAATAAGGTTGTGCTAGAGAGAGGCCTAGCTAGGGTTTAACAGAAATAAAGAAGAGCACTATGCAATTCAATGCCACATTTTGAACTGGCAAACCCCAATAGCTCACTTGTCTTGTTTGCAGCAAAATAATAAAGTGCTAAAAAAAGTGGTTTTCTGTTTCCCTGCATAAGGACCTCCATGTAGTTTGGAAGCCAAATGTGTTCTTCCTCTTGAGGAATATCTGTTATGCTTTCATTGATTGACCGATTTATGTTGTGCCATCTAATCAGTGTGACTCTTAGCATTCCACATTTCTCTATGACACTTTATCTCTAACCAGGCCCTTCAGGTCTTCCAACACTATTCTTTCAGTAGCAATCTAAACAAAAAAAAATGTTTTAAAGTAAAGATGCAGAATTCCAATGTGATCAAAACCCCCAAAATGGGGGGAGGGGAAGCAGGGGACGAAACACCTTTGTTATTGTCCTGATCTGCATGAGGTGACTACTTCCAGGCTACAGGAGAGTTAGAATGGGGCATAGAGAGAACGTCCCCTACCACCCTATACCTGTTTCCTCATTCAGCCTGTCTATATCCTTGTAGTTAATAATTTAAAAAGTATCCACCCAATGTCTAAATAAGAGTTGCGGTGGCGCAGTGGTTAGAATGCAGTACTGCAGGCTAGTTCTGCCTGCAATTTGGCAGTTCAAATCTAAGGTTCAAGGTTGACTCAGCCTTCCAAACTTCCAAGGTCAGTAAAATGAGAACCCAGATTGTTGGGAGCAATAGGCTGACTCTATAAAAGCCTTAGAGAGGGTTGTAAAAGCACTGTGAAGCAGTATATAAGTCTTGTGCTATTGCTATGTGAAACTGGCATGTAAGCAATAGGGAGAATGCGTCAGCAGTCAGGTTAAGTACAGTAGTGCTTTTTGAATATGCCTGTATCCATTGTTGAAGCAACATACTGAAACAACAGTGATTTTAAAAGTGTGGGCTCTTTTTAGTTGTTAGGTCCTTAAGGAGCTCAAAGAGATAACCTTTTCAATGTGATACTTATGTTAACATCTATTCATCACAACTGAAACCAATCTTTCATCCTGCTACATGTCTCTCAAGGTTATCTATATTGGTCAATCTACTTTCTGGAAAAACTAATAATAAAGTTGGTATGTCTGCAAGTTAGTCCCTTGGAAACATAAATGGCAAACAACAATGGAATGGTTTTTCTTTTTTTTTTTAAGTGGGGCTAGTTCAAAATAATATAAGTACTACAAGTCTATAAGTCATAGGTTTAACACATCTTTAAAAACAAATTAGGAAAATTAAAACATTAATCCAACACTACCAAATGATGAATGAAACAACAGCTGAACCAAATTGATCCCAATGGCTTGTGTAAATCTCATTCCAGCATTGCCATTTCCTTCATGACTCTCGGTCACTGAAAATGTGGTTTTAATCAAGAATGACTTCTTGCTGCAATAAGTACTATAGATTGACCTGTATGGGTTCTTCCATAGCTGTATCTCTTCCTTTTCGTACGGAAACAACTTTCTTGGAACACAAAATTCTAACATCCAAAAGAGAAATATTTATTTTTTTTACAATATTGAGATTAACATTTTGTATAAAATTTTGGCAGGTGTGGCCTAGGCTAAGTTCTTGTACAAGATGGGCCGAGTTTTTTAAAAGAAGATCTCAACCACCACAACAGCCTCAAGATTCTTTGAAGATACCAAAGAATAGGGTTGGGATAGAGGGACAAAGCCAGAACCTCTGTGGCAGAAGCCCTCCAGCAGGTGTTCCAGGAGGAAAGAGAAAACGGAGAAGAGAAGATTCATATTTGGACCACAAATTTCCTGTGCTCACTGTCTGCAGAATAATGACTTCCATTATGGTATGGGTGCTAATAAAATATGTCCAGTTAAAAGGAAAGCAGCCATCCTCCTCTTGCGAAAAAGGTTGACCTCAATGAAACAATTAGTGATGGGCAAAGAAGTTAGTTTTCCTATATGCTCTGCATGCTCCGGCTCTGCTCATGATTTCCTCCTTGGAAAAAATCCCTTATTTGGTAGCCTTTATCCATTAAAAATATTGTGTCCATTTTCCTCAAATATCCATTCATAGAGGGGGGAGGGGGAACCTTAATAAGGAAACAAGGTGATAAAATCAGGAAGGCAGAAATGGGTTTAGGATTGAGTTTTACTCTGGGATCAAGGGTAGTGGTTGCAGTTTCTGAGCTAGGAATTGCATTGTGTCCTTTTCAGCTGCATTTGCAAGATTTCACAACCATGTTAGACAGCTGTTCCACTTTTGGGGTCCTTCCAACATAATACAAGATAGTCAGGGGATCCAGATCCTGGGGAACACAACAGGGGGAAGCAGATGCTTCAGGATTCAGAGTATTGTATAAACCAAGAACCTGGAAAAACAACCAAGAAGTATATGAGGATCTTAGCTAGCAGTTGCCAGTTGCTAGAATTAACATTAGGCAGGAAGCATATTTAAAAAATACAACATTTACAGCTTCTACCTCAGTTCAACCACTGGGTCAATATATTGAACAATTTACTGATCAAATGATTTTTCCTAAGTAAGTGGTGTAACACCCAAGCCTCTGTCTTAGCAAATATAGTTCT